GAGTTAAATGCCCCCTCAATTTCCTCCTTTTAATTAAGGAATTAATCGCAGCTTTAATCTGAAATTTAATTTCAGATTTAAGGATTAATTCACGTAAGTAATTGGGGCCCACTTATTTGAATTCAAACCCCTCTCTCCTTCCCATGATTCCTTGCCATTAATGACTCCTTAATCACTCCCTGAATTTTAGTTAATTCAAATTCAACTGAGAGTGATTTAATCCAATCAATCCTAATTGGAAGTTATCAAGAAAGAAATCTGGACCTGCTGCATGGCTGAAATATTCACAACCTGAACTCCCGTATATTTTCCTCCATTAAATCTTTCCCGTAACTGCTGAAGCTGAGCCCTGTTGGATTTATGTGGCTGTCCAAAGAGTTCTCCAACTGTTACAGAGTTTTCCCCAACATTAAGCTTGCTCTCCCATCCGTCTCCCTCTTAATATTTATTACCTGCTCTTTGGGAAAGAATTCCATAACCTGAGAATTTCAAAATCTGAGATGTTTCTAACTCCACATAACAGCTTTTGGAAATAAATTTTGGTTCCAAAATCTGAAACCCTTTCCAAGCCTTTCAGCCGCCGCCTCCTTAATTGTTTTGCTTGGTATTATTTCTCCAAAGCCCTCCCTGCTGCTGGCCGAACTCCTCCATACCCTTTTCCTGGGTTGTCCCTCCTCAATCCTCTCCCTCTCCCACTCAACACCTTGCTGGAATCAAGGCTTGAATGCTCCTCCAATTTCTCTACATCTTATTATACTAAAATCTGGAGATTCACCTCAGATTTTTATAAGAAATTTGAAACGGTTTTCATATTCTAAGAGCAAGAAGCTTGGAGCTTGCTTCCCTTCCCCTCTCAAGCGAAAATCTGAGATTCTTCTCAGGTTTTGGGCAAAGAAAACAGACCTTGTTGACAGATTTTGGAGAAGAGACTCTCTCGTTTGCAAAGCCCCCTACCCGTTCTACATCATTCCTCCTCCATTGACTAACAATCATCTACAACAACAAGATCAAGCCTTTATTCCACTATATGGGATTGGCTATATGAATCCTGTTTCTACATTGTCTTGTTAAGAACTAGATTTTCATTTAAATCTAATAAAAAAAGTTCATTTCTAATATTTTCTAACAAAGATTTTTTAGGTCTACCTCTACCTTCTTAACATAGGCGAAATCTAATACATTTACTCTCATAATCGAGTCATAAGAAAGCTGACGTTTTATGTGACCAAACCATCTAAGGCATATGTCTAATCTTATCTACCATTGGAGCTACTCCAACCATTTCATGTATATGCTCGTTTCACATTCTATCTCTAAGAGTAAAACACTTATCCACTTGAGCATACTAATCTCTGCAACACTTAAAATTATGCAGTGAAAGTTTTACATGTGCAAAATTATCCTCATTTTTTTACTACGAAAATATAAATTAAATAAAAAACTTCGTATTTTTGAAAATAGGTAAAATGTCACCAATCTTGATCCGAGTAACTTTCAAAATTGGGCCATCAGCTAAAAATGACCCAAAGCAGCCCAAATTCGGCTCTCTTTAAGAATTCCTCTCTCACAAACCGGCTACCTTAAGAAAAAAATGAATGGGATTTTAGTGAAAAATTATATTATTAAAATTCGGCCTAGAACCACACGACGCTCCCTTAGATAGCCCATAGTGCCGCAGCGCCACCGCCAATGTTGCCGCGTTGAATTAATTTGCCAAAAATCTGAGAGCACTGGCGCCGAAACGACTCCAACCAAAGCGCCGCGATGCCTTGGGGGAAAAATTCAGACTTGCTCAAATATGCAAATAGACCCCCAGATCTCATTTCAAAATACATGCAGACTTTCACATACACAAAATATTCCTAGACACATGCAAAAGAGTTCAAATACCAAAATTTAATAGATAACCTAGAATCTGGTCAAGTCTGAATGGATTGAACGGTACTCTGACTTTCCAGATGTTACACATTTATACCAATTGCAAAGCTAAATATTATCTAGATATTGCTATCTTCACGGTCAACCGCGGAAGAAAAAAAAAAAACTCATATAAGGTGAAATTAGAAGAAGAAGCCTTTATTGAATTTCCATCAAATTTTAATCAAGATTTCAATACTAATTTATATGTAGGTTGAACAAAGCTTTATACAAGCTCATGCAATCCCCAAAAGCATGTTTGGGGAAGCATGCCAAAGTCATGAAAGGATAAAATTGAATTAAAACCTTGACATCACACTTTATTCATTATAATAACAACATCAAACCTTTATCCCACTACGTGGGGTTGACTATATGAATCATTTTTCTCCATTGTCTTGAGAATAGAATTTTCATTTAAATTTAATAAAAATGTCATTTCTAAGATTTTCTATTTAAGTATTTTTATGTCTACCTCTACCTTTCTTAAGGCAAGTCAAATCCAATATATCAACTCTCCTAATCGGATCATTGGAAGGCCAACGTTTTATGTGACCAAATCATCTAACATGTCTCTTATCTGCCACTAGAGCTACTCCAACCTTATCACGTGCATACTCGTTTCACATTCTATCTCTAGGAGTAAAGACACTCATTCACCTGAGCATCCTCATCTCTGCAACACTTAACTTTATGCTTCTCTTTTAATGGCCAACATTCTACACCATAATGCATTGCAGGTCTCACCACCATCAAACTCTATTCATTACAACAACAACAACAACAACATCAAGTCTTTATCCCACTACGTGGGGTCGGCTACATGAATCCTTTTTCTCCATTGTGTCCTATTAAAAGTCAAATTCTCATTTAAATCTAATAAAAAAAAGGTCATTCCTAATATTTTCTAACCAAGTCTTTTTAGGTCCACCCCTACCTTTCTTAACACAAGTCAAATCTAATACCTCTACTCTCCTAACCGGGTCATCGGAAGGCCGCCTTTTTACGTGACCAAACCATCTAAGGTGACTCTCTCTAATCTTATCTTCTACTGGAGCTACTCCAACCTTTTCACGTATATGCTCATTTCGTATCCTATCTCTAAGGGTAAAGCCACTCATCCACCTAAGCATCCTCATCTCTGTCACACTTAACTTAGTATTATGCTTCTCTTTTAATGGCCAACATTCGGCACCATAAAGCATTGCAGGCCTCACTACCATCTTATAGAATTTTCCCTTAAGTTTGAGGGGTACATTTCTATCAAACTCTATTCATTAAAAAAAAAAAATCTAACAAGGGCAAAAATACAATTTTTATAATATATAAAGATGACATTATTGTCATATGTTATTATTTCAAAGAAATTATAAAAAAAAAAAAGTTGAAAGATCGATTATTCAAAGAATTTGGAAGTCAAAGATCTAAGAAATTAAAATATTTCCTTAGAATTGACATGGTGCACTCAAAGGCCATGTATGATTGGATGCAAGCCCTAAGAAGGGCCAATTGACTACTACTATAAACTTGGAGGGAAATTGTTAGCTCAGAAGTTGCAAAATAAGGTATCAAAGGCAAACCGGAAAGCTTATTTACCTTACCAACATAAGACTAGATAGCCTTTGTTATAAGTGTTCTAAGTCAATTTATGCATAATCCTAGATGAACTCATCTACAAGAATCATACAAAATTCTTCAATACCTTAAAGAAACACCACAAAAATTTGAAAGCTCAATCTTGAAGCCTACATTAATGTTGATTGGGTAAGATCCCTTTCATACATAGGGTCTATTACTTGTTATCGAATTTTGTATGTTAGAATCTAATCACTTGAAGAAGCAAGAAACAATTAATGATTGCTAGATCTAGCACCAAAGCCGAATTCTAGGAAACGGCTTAATGGATGTATGAATTTTATAGATCAAAATTATACTGGATGACTTAGAAATAAAATTGAAGATACATTTAAGTTATACAAAGAGAACAAATCAACCATCAACGTTGCACAGAAGACAGTTCAACATGACGGAACCAAACATATGGAAATTGACTAAAACTTCATTAAAAAAATAAAGTTGTCTAATATGTAACTTACAAGTTTGAGCACACAAGCATTTGGAACATTCAAACCAAAAGACTACAGAGCTCCATAGTTCATAATATCATCTACAAGTTAGGCAAGAAAAATATTTACTCTACAGCTTGAGTCTTGGCGGTTGAAGTGGCCAACTTGGCAATTCATGAGATTGCAAAGTTGGTCATCCCTTTTATCATCCATAATTGGCAATCTAAGTGCCTAAAAGGGAAAAAATCCCTCTACAATTTTATGGGAAAATAAGTCTAGGTTCTGTAATTAATAGTTCTCCTATATTGAAATTATTATGAAATCTTAATAGGTTCTGCAATTTTAATATGAAATCTTGCTGTATAAATATATAGGCGAAGTCTTAATGGAATCCACACGAAGTTCAAATCATTTATCCTCTATTCACTCTTCGTGCGCAATTTAAAGAGTAAAAAAAGATTCATTCAGTTTCTTTCAACTCCATACAAGATGAAAGAAAGTAACCAAGTAGCTCATTTTATAGTTGTGCTTCTTCATGTGAAATAAGAACTACAATAAGTTACATTCAACATTTAGGCTTCGTTTGGGACGGCTTTCTTACTACTTCTTAAAGCAATTTTTTATCATAAAAATTTTAATTTTTAAACTAAAAATCCATTTTAAAAAGCAATAAAAAAGCCGTCCCAAACAAAACCTTAATTTGTTCTCAATTTGAGAAATTCAAAATTATTTTGGTTGGCCAGAAATATAATCTTCACATGTAATAAGCATAAGCATGCTCACTTACACATGCATGCATAAGACATTAAACTTGTAAACTCCTCCATACGCCATGACCTGTATACACCGCAGTGTAGCATTTAAATGAATACAGAATATTAGAAGTCAAACAAAAATGTATTTCTTCTGCAGCCAATCCACGTTATTCAAATAAAAACAAATTTGTGTTATTGTGCAAAAGGAAGGAACTGGCTATTCTTTACAATAGACAAACTCTTAAAAAAAGCAACAAATGGATATCCAAACAAAAAAGGAGTCGGGAGGAAAAAAGAAAATCACTCAAACTTAAGAAGCATAACAGATTATCAGTGAGGTAAGATTGATTAGGCTTACGATTTCTTAATGCAACTAAAATGTTGTAGTGTACCTAAATACAAGAGGGAAGTTAGAATTTGCATATCACAAACTCCTAAATAAATCAAGGTCTTATTTCTTTAATGCAAACAATAAATACAAAAAAAAAATGATAATAAAAAGATCGTAAACATTTCAATAAATCATATAAAATTAACAAGCAATTACTAATTATTCACCACAATAAGAATTCAGTTGCATCACATTGAAACAAAATTAAAATCACTAGCAAGCCAATAACAAAATATGTAAAAGAAATTGGGTCAATGAAAGAAATTGGCCAGTACAACAAAATAATTTCACTAGAAATTTGGTTGTCACTCGTGTGTAGAAATTTAATTTAATCAGAGACCATAAATTACATGCCACAAAACATCTATTTATAGACTATTCATCCATAGCTTAGTAGATATGATCGACACAAAATAAGTCCAATACAAATTCAAGTTAATCCCACAATTTAAGCAATATTTTAGCCAAAATTTTAAATCCCACAAGAATGTTGTACGCACAAATATGAAGTCTTTGACGCTCAAGTCAATGGTGCAAGCAGAGATGAGCCGGATCTAGCTAAAAAGATAGAATCACATAATAATCATGCAAATCCACATTCTTAGCCCAAGCTCAAAAAACAAAAAGTAAAACTGGTTCAAAGTTTAAAATACTAGGAACAAGTGGAATAGATCATATTAGGGTCATACATAAAATCTGAACAAGAAGTATTTTAAGTTCAAGAAAAAAGAGGTTCCTAAAGATGCCAATCCAGCAATTATTGTCATGCAACTTGGCGAAATTGATAGTTGTGATGGAGATCTATAAAACTGATTCGAAAGTTGATACTGCAAGGTTCAGATTTGCATATTCATGAGATGTGTATGGAATAATGAATTTATACTGCCTGCTACAAGTCACCAGTTATAGCAGTTGTATCAAGATTTTTATTTGTATATTATAAGTAAAATTCTGAAAAAAATTAAGAAATTGATCTCAAGTTCTCAACAAACAAGTTAAGCTCAAGCTTTTTAAATGAGTTTGAACAATCAAACCGAATTCGAGCCTGCAATTTTTTCATCAAGCCGAGTTCGAGCTCATTAAATAAGCTCGAGCCGAGCTCAAATTCAAGCTCAACAGGAATTAAACAAGCTCAGCAGGCAACTACTTGACTCGTTTACACCCCTAGAGAAGAGCGACTAGAGTTTGGCTCATTAAATAATAGATTCGAAGGAGCTTCCCAAGGTATAGTTGTGTTGTTTTGCTAATGTAAAACAAAATTTTCACTAGATTATCTAGGTTCTTACCTCAATGTTACTTGTGCAAAGGTGAGAAGTATGCTAGAGATCTCTCCATATGGTAATTTCATCACTATCAAATACCACTCAACTTCAACCCTGAAAATACATATAAGATAGGCAAAATAAGTCGCATGGACTTACAGGCTTAACAAGAGTAGCGGGGGATGATGACAAAGGTTACTAACACCCAAATTACATATTGAAGAAAAAGAAATGTTGTTTGTTTATAAAATGGTAACAAATAAAGTATGCTAAACTGAAATGGTCCACTTATAAACTTTCCTAAACACTAACAAGAAACATGTTTACAAATAATATACATGCTTTCATAAAAAAAAATTAAAATTAAAATTAAACAAAACTTCTTTAAAAAAATGGAAAGGAGATAGTCTTCAAACTATAAAAAATTGCTAATTTGCTTCTCGCAACATACAAGAGTTGCACTTTAGATGAGCGCAGACTGAGTCAAACAACCTTTTAATATCCTCTCTAGTAAACAAATTCTAGCTTTCATAAATTTTAAATGCATTTCAGATATATATACAAATTTTCGGTAACATCACTAATTAAACCAGAAAGTTTACAAAATAAAATAAATAAAATAAAACATCTTGATTTTTTATAGACAAGGGAACCTAGAGCTTCTTGTTTTCTTGGACATAAGTTTCAACAAAACAAGAGCGTTTTCAGGATTACACTGGAAGCAGAATATCCGGAATATTTATTACAAATGTGCATCTTCTCATTGCTCAGGCGGACCAGCTGGAAACTGCCCCCAACACATAGTTGGGTGTGAAAGCCGAGAGCCAAGAAAACCTGTTTTGAAACCCAAAAAAAAAAAAGAACATAAGATTAGAACCTGAAATGCAGAAAAAAAAAATGCAGGAAAAAAAAAAAAGAATACAGAAAAAGACCATAATGATCCCCAATTCTTTTGAGGGAACAATTTTGTCCCTCAACTCCTTAGAAAGGGGTATTTTTAGTCATAACATCAAATTTTGAGGTTAATGGTAATAAATTAAGGTGTATTTTAGTTCTTTTTTAATTAAATTATTTATTAAATATAATTTTCAAGTAATAATATTTTTTTAATACAAGTTTATTAAATATTTCTTTAATAAAAAAGTTTATTAATAATTCTAGTTTTAATTTAGGATCTTTATAGACTATAATTATTAATAAATTTTTAAAAAAAGTACTAATCCTTAAGGTTGTTTTGAGTTTTTTTTAAAATAATGTTAAATATTTTTAAAAACAAAAAATAAAAAATACTTATAAAATGCTAATCAAACATCTTATGTCAAAATTATTAAAAAAAAAACACTTACAAAACACTAATCAAACATGTTATGTCAAAATTATAAAAATAAAAAAATAATAAAAACAAAAGATGATGTCTAACAAGCTCTTAATTTTTTATTCACAAATACTAAAAATATAAAAAATAAATGTGCATTATAGCAATAGCATACCATTCACATTGGCACCTACAAAACTTCCTTGGTTGACCCTGTCATGTCGGAAGCCCCCAGTAACAATGGATTCAACCGAGTTTTGAGCTCGATCACATGGAGCAGTAATAAGAGAAGGCATATCAATAGATCGAACTCTCAAAATGTGCTCAACTTGCTCCATAAGCAAATCTGATTGGTTCTCAATAAATACACAAGTATCAAAAGATTTTGAAGCTCTAGAAGCAGCAATACTAAAGATGCGGCATAAATAGTTGTAGCGCTTTGCAGATAATGTTTGGGGGTTCCCATCAAAAGGAAAATCATAGATGCCACTAAAAGGTACCACCTTTGCATCCTTTCTCCACCTTTTGAGTACATATTCCGGAGGGAGATCTTTGATATTTCTAGAATCGAGTACCTTTAGCATGTGATGGCATGGAATCCCTATAAAATCAAACTTTTTGCAGCTACAAGTGATACTTCCATCTAATGAATCAAACTTAACAAAATGATCTTTAAGCTTTTCATCCATGGTTACCTTATACTCTGATACTGTCCCAATCTCACCACAACTATATATCATACAATCCATGTAAAGCTCAAATTCCTTTTCAAACATTTTAAATGCAGCAGGAGTATAGGAATCTGCAGCTTGTCTCAGCACTCTCATTGAAGGCAATTTTCGAGCACTTTGACTAGCATGGGCATCAGCTTGTAGTTCTGCAAATCGTCTTTCTTCAAGAAGTTTGTTGTAATGCTCGTAAAAGTTTAAAAGCTCTGTTTCAGGGGAAAGATATTTTTTTAGCTCACCACTCAAGTTATCCTTAAGCTGAACGCTTTTCATATCAGCATAAAATGCTTCTCGCCCATACACCAATGCCCATTTTTCCCTCTCTTCAAATAGATTGGCCAACCATTGGTTATCTTTGAGATCATAAGTTTCTAACATTGTTTTCCATGCCATGAGGAACTCCTCCTCATCTTCATAATCGAAGAGACATCGGCTAAAGTCACTGGCTAAAGTTTTTGAGCCATGAAATGCTTGGGTTAGCTGCTCAAGAGCATTCTGGTAAATATGCCACACGCAATATCGATGAAAGGTACCTGGCCACATCTCAGCTATTGCTTCAGTCATTAATGCGCTCCGATCGGTCAAAATCGTCTTAGATTGTTTTCCACTCATTGCAGTCTTGAAAGTGTCAAACAACCACTTGTATGATTTTTTGCTTTCATCATGCAATAATGCAGAACCAAAAATAACGGCTTGCTTATGATGATTCACACCAATAAACTGTGCAAATGGCCTACCATAACCAAAATATTTATAAGTTGAGTCAAAACAAACCACATCACCAAAGTACTTAAAATCCATCACAGACTTTGCATCAGCCCAGAAAAAGTTGATCAAGCTACCCATCTCATCAACTTGAACTGCATAAAAGAATGATGGGTTTTCATCTTGCATCTTTTGTAGATACTCAAGTGTTGCTCCTACGTCTCCAACCAGAACAGATTTAGAAAGTTTGGACCTTAAACAAGACTTGCTGTCAACAGAATGCAAGCTGAAATCCTGAGCACCTCGAGCTTGTATGTTCCCAGAATTATCAGTGGACATCGGGGTCATCATTAACACATCTGTCATGCCTGATTCATCATCAAGAACACCTGTTTCTGAATTTTGTGAAATCAACAAATCATTCGCTAAAGGGGCCGAGAGTGGATGATTATGGTAGGTAACAAATTCTGAGACATGATATTTGCCACTGGGTCCTATTCTGATGATCATACATGCAGGGCACCCAGTTCTTGTTTCTGGGCGAGGCTTCTTCACCCTTTTCGCACCTTTCTTCCTCTCTCGAAAACCCTCTTTGGAGCACACAAACATCCTTCTTGTAATAACATCACCAGCTGTTACTGTCATGCTTGCTCGTCGAACAGTGAAACCCATCCTTCCAGCATACATGTTATAGAACTCATAAGCCTCATATTCAGTTTCAAACTCTGGAGTCTTCACTGAATCATCCACCAAATCAACTCGTGCAGCACGAGCTTTTCGCCTCAGCTTCTTCGCCTTCAACATCTGGATTGAGGTTGCGGTCGCAAGAGAATGGTTATGATTTGGTACAAATTCCGTCACACGGTATTTTCCATTAGTTGTAAGCCTGATTGTCATGCAGGCCTGGCAACCAATCCTTGTTTCGGGCCGTGGAGACTTCACTTCCTTGGCCCCCTTTTTCTTCTCACGAAAACCCTCTCTTGAGCAAACAAAGGTCCTTCTTGTCACAATATTCTTTGAGGTCGTCCATAGAGTTGATCTTCGAACAAAGAAGCCAACATTCTCAGCATAAGTACCATAGAAATCATATGCATCATTTTCACTATCAAACAGCATATTAACAGTTGGCATCCAGCCAGAACTTCCAACTTCTTCAATCAAACCGCTAGTGGTTGCTCTTATATCTGCCATTTCCTGCCTGAAAATAGCAACCAATCAAGCTCCAAGAAGAATGTGCATTGAAAACACTCTATGAAATTAAAAGCAGGCATCAATAGCCATTATCTGTCTTGTTAACAACAATTGCAGTGAAAGTTCCATTTGAGAAAGAAAAGACAACACTTCACAAATAGGCATCCCCCTAATAGCTGACGAAGCATGTATTTTACTTATATGGCTTACCCGATCAAAAAATAAACAACTTAAGAGAATGAATGAAAAAACATCAGAATAAAAAGTAGCAGCTAAAGGAAAGCTAAAAGGTATTGGAACAAAAAGATACTTACTAAACCACTGGATTCCCTTTTTATGTCCTCCTTGGGAGCTCCTTCTGAAAGACCTGACAGTGATTTAACTGCAGCAACACAGAAAGTAGTCGTCCATTCATTCAAACGAGCAATTCTTCACAAGATGAGCATAAAGTGATCAAGAAAAACAAGAAATTTTCTTTCCAAAAGCAATATTTTGACTTTTGAGGTGATGTCTGGCTCAGCGTAATTAAAAAACCCGTATCATCGATCTAATACTAGGGCCGCTTGGGCAGCAGGATTTACGCGATAACGTGCCAAATGGTTCCGCTGAAAAAAAAAAAAATCCTTCGTTTTTTAAATCCAGCTTTACCTCCGCAGCAGATTTACGTGATTTAGACGAACAGAAACGCAAGCTCCCTTGCCTTCTCCAGCGAGCACCCCTCTCGACTTCTTGGCCTCGTCGAGGGTTTCGGGTAGGCTGGCGAGCTCCGATCGCGATTTTCATAGTTTTTGGTCGGGGTTTAATATTTCATATTAATTATATGAAAATATAGAGTTAAATAAATTAATGTTAAATTTCATTTATAATTAAATAAAAATATATATGTTTATTTATTTATAAGCTTTATTTAATTATTAATTGAGATGATATATTATTATGTAGTGTAAGTTGTAACTTAATTAATATAATTGGAATTAATAATATTTATTAAAATTTTAAATATTCAATAAAATAAATTAAATATAAGTATATTAACTCACATAATTAAATTAGTATTATTAATATTAATATATTAAATATAATTAATTTAAATAATTTGATATTATTTTATTTAACATTACAAAATTAGACATTAATTTTTTATTTCAAATTCAATAAATCTCTTCAAAACTCTGACAAAAATAAAAATTTTAATTCACAATTAAACTAATTTAAAATAAAATCCTCATTTTTTTAATATATATTTTCATTTTCAAGCAATCAAATGAGCTTTAATGAATAAAAAATTAAAAAAAGTAGCAAAGGTGTAAAACTTCATAGGAAAAAACGTAAATCTAGAATATAGATGCGTAATTTTTCGAGTTTATTTAGGAGAACTGTAACATTCTATAAAATTAATTATAAAATTATTATAAGAAAAATAATTTAACTACTTCGATAAAAAAATAATTTTCTATCACAAAATTTTTTAAAAAGTAATGAGAAAACAAAAAATAATAATAGTCAAATAAAATTATGACTACTATCAAAACAATAAAACAGCCACAAAATTTTCTCAAACAAACCTTAAATTGATCCCATTTATTTCTATAATTTGTTAAATTTAACACATTGTATAAAATAAAATCCAAAATATTGATGCAAACCAACTATCCAAGAACAAACCAATGATCAAATCTAAGCACTTCATTTTTTTTTAAAAAAAAAAGGAAAATTGAAAAGTTATAAATGCTGCTTCCACATAATACTCCTTAGATAGCAGTCATCAACAACAAAATCCTTCAATATAAAAACAAAGCGCAATGGTTCCAAGAACTTCATCACTGAAGCAACCAAATACCTCCACTTATTTCTAAAAAACGTCAACAGATAAAGGAGGAGCGCAGCTGCAAAAAAAGTTTGTTTAATAACTCACAAAATTCTCTCAAAAAAAGCCATCAATGTCCAGCCGAGGTTCAGGCGTCATCAAGGGCGAGAACACCGGGCAGCGATTTTCCTTCCAAAAGCTCCAAGCTCGCACCACCGCCGGTAGAGATATGGCTCATCTTATCAGCAAGCCCAGCTTTCTCTACAGCAGCAACAGAGTCGCCGCCGCCGATGATAGTCGTGACACCTTTTCCACTAAGATCAGCCAATTTCTTCGCAATAGCCTGAGATAATTAAGCAGTAGGGTGAGAATTAGACTTTGGGACTGCTTTTTTTCTACTTCTTAAAACAGCTTTCTAGTATAAAAATTTAAAATTTTATACTATAAAGGTACTTTAAGAAGTAGTTAGAAAGCCATCCCAAACGAAGCTTTAGGCTTCATAATTATTATTTTTATTCTGAAGATGAAAGTTTTATTATCCATTTAACTCACATCTGTTCCAACTGCGAACTTCTCAAACTCAAAAACACCCATAGGTCCATTCCAGATTATGGTTTTAGCACTCTCAAGAGCCTCACTGAATGTGTCAATGGAATCTGGCCCAATGTCAAGTCCCATCCAGCCATCAGGGATAGCAGATGCTGGGACAATCTGAAAAGTAAAGAGTTAGATTAGCAACACACATGAAGGCTTCAAAGATTTAGTTAATTTATATTGCTGTTCAGGGGGCCTATGAGGCAGCTGCAGCTATGACTTTTGTGTAAAATAAATTTTTAAAAGTTGCAATGGCTTGTGTGAGTAGTAGACATTTTAATTTCAAAATAATCAGACAGCTTTCTGCCTTTCTTACAACTATCACAATCTAATGAATCTAATTTTAAAAAGTCAATTGTTAGATCCAAATTTATGTGTAAATGATACCCGGACCTTACTACCAAGACTTAGAAGGCTCGGTCAGAGAAAAAGTAAGAGAGAAAAGGAGAGATTCTAAGGGGTTTGGCAACAAGTAGGATTTAACTTTAGTAATAAATCAATTTAATAAATCTTGGGTATGTTAAATTTTCAAAACAGCTTAGCAAGATAGTTGTTAAATCTAGTTAAATATTGTGAATCAATTTGGCAATATAATCTAGGATTTATGGCGGTTAGTTCATTTAGAAATTAAATTTAATGTGTTTTGAATTTAATTTATATGTTAAGTATGAGTTACTTATTAACTTTAATTTTAATTACTTTGATGATAAGTTCTAATGATAAATAATGTAATTATAATTTAGCTTAATTATTACTAGTTATCAAATTAGTTATTTAGATGTTAATTATCAAATTACTTATTATATTAATAATTATCTAATTATATTTCTAAACCCTAATTAATTAGTTGATTCTTTTTTGAAATTACAAATTATTTAACTAATACTCATATTAATGATTTAATTAATTATTTAAGTATTATTTAATTAGTTTTAATTATTAATTATATTATTAATTATCTCATTGATCACTTAAATATTCAACAAATTAATTATTTAATTATTATTTGTAATAATAAGTATAAAATTAACTACTTCTATTTTAAATTATATTAATTAAACTAATTTAATGACCAATTATATTATTAATTATTTAATTAGGCTAAATTAGATTACTTAATTACACTACTAATTATACCACTACTTATTTATAATAATGCTAACTTAGATTAATTTCTAATTTAGGAGGTCATCTAGAGTTTACTTTTTGACTTCTTCCCTTGATTCGTTTTTGTTGCTTTTCCTCATCAACATTTCTTCATTGCTACTTTCGCTTCGCATGAAATTGTGTTAGACTGGTCCAACGGTCCTTGACAGACTATTTTAAGTGGAACAAGCTTCCGCCTGCTTAATTGCTCGCCCCTTCTGCAGTGGAGCTCATGGTATTAAAATCCAAATAAGGCGGGCAACTGCTAGGAGGGAAAGAATTCAAATGCAAAAGGATGTTTGGGGATTTGAGATATTTTTGTATGCTTTAAGCAGAGTGTTTTTCCTAGGGTTAGGGTTATGTATTGTTTGTTGAATTTAGATTGTTCTTAGGTTGATTAGGCTTTAATCGGTGGCTAGAGAATTGGGAGAGCCGGATCTTCCTCTCTAATTGAAAATCCATCGTATCTTGTTTGTTTTTCTTCACATATCTTGCAATAAAAAGAGTTTTTCCTATATGTTTTCCGAATTTCATATTACCGTTGGCTGATTTTGCTGAAATCGCATCTAATTCCTATCAATTTGTTTTTCTAGAGTTGCTAAAGCAGCTTATTCGCCTCATTCGAAGGCGTCACGTCAAATCAAAAGTTATGATGGGAGCTAGCTCGCTGCATCAGTAACCATCTTCGCCTCATCCTTCAAGACGAGAGCTCACTCGCTTGTCGTAGAAGAACTTCGCAAACCCGTAAATCCTGTTAAATCCATCGAACAAAGGGATTTAGAAAATCTCGAATTTATGTTGTAAATAATCCATGTTTTATAATCGATTCATGTTTATTGCATGCTATCAAATCATTTGGTAGAATTAACGACAAATCTGGCTTAAATCCTTCTTAAATCGCGCTACCAAACAACCCCTAAAGATTGTATTGAATCCAAGTTCTCCCAAATGACTTCCATTCTCTTTGAAATAGCCCTACGACCTTTTATTTACAGGATTATAAGGCTACATAAAAAAAAATTATATAAGAAAAGATATTCTTTTCCTTAATGTGTCTAGCCCGCCCAAAAAATATGTTGCTAAAATACAAAAATATACATGGACAACTAACATGCGGATAATCATTAGTCAGAGCGAGTCTACCGAGTGATGAGTAATGAGTGGCGAGTAGCCGTTGATGAATGATACTTAATCCTTAGCAAGTGCACATTGACCTTCATCGAGGGGAGCACCTTTAACTTTAACCTTCCTCGCTTGAAGGCAAATTGAGTTTCATTGAGCCAGGTGTTTAGCATATTCATATATAAGCTTCTCACCGCAAAAAAAAAAAAATTCAAAAGGCAATGAAATGTTATAGTCATACATAACTATGATAACTATATGGAAATCTAAACTAAAGAAAATCTACCCTAATGAACTATAAGAGTCCCCCATTTAGGGCAACTTTTTCATAGTCTTGCTTTCCAAATAATTGCCACAATTTTATATAGCATTATAGCTATAACTTTTTTGCTACTTTTCAAAAATTTCTATTGTGAGAAATAATTATTTATAATAATATATACTAGCGTAGGCCTGACTGGACTAGTTGCATCTATCTGTAAAAGTAATTGTAGAAATATTGTTGAAAAAAACAATTTTTGAAAGATGCTATGGGTATTATATACTTCTTCCCATTTGAAAAAGTCCAACAATACACACAAATATGACAAAATGCTACTTCTCACCATGGCAATTAAAAAAAAAGTAGCCAAATAAAAACGAGATAATTGTTTGTAAAATAAAACTAAAAAGAAATAATCCCCAAATAAATCCTAAGATAACCACAAGAAAGTTGATGCTCAATTTTTTCTCCCAGAAAAAGATAAGAATTTATCATACCCAATATTGGATTTCAAAACAATCAAGTTTTCAAACAACAGTCACAACTACTTTACAAATAGCACAAACTTCAACTAGGCCTAATTTGATCCGCATATAGCCTTCAACATTATGAGTAATACATGTGCATACCAATTGGAAAAAAAAATTGTCAGAATAGCTTGACTAAAATTTTGGCCAGGGATAAGGGCTTTAAAACTAGTGCAATAGATAAGTAATATTACACAAATTTTAAACAATTCTAAAGACTTTGAGCCTATCCCGACTACTTTTTGGTTGAAGTATTCTTAAGTAAAAAATTTTCATGCAAATTTTAACTGGAGAAAAAGCAAATCTAAGATAAAATCAATTAAAAGAACTTTCTATTCCTTCTCTATTAAATACAAATATTGAGCATGTTGACATTCATTAATGCTACTAAACTAAAATATAATTGACAGCCAAAAAGTAGAGAACAAACCTTGCTGTTGGCATCTGCAGCAAACTTATCGGCAGCAACGACATCAGTAGGTAATAGGAGTGACACTCCTTTCAGCTTTGCCTTCTCAATAAGAGCTGTTGCTAGACCAAGTTTATCTTCCTCAACAAGAGAGGATCCAACACCATGCCCTTGTGCCTTGTAGAAAGTGAATATCATTCCCCCTCCAAGAAGAAGGATATCAACTTTCTCTAAGAGTGACTCCATCACCCCAATCTTAGTTGAAACTTTTGAGCATTGTTTGTAAAATAAAAGTATAAAAAAAATTCCCCAAATAAATCCTAAGATAACCACAAGAAAGTTGATGTTCAATTTTTTCTCCCAAAAAAAGATAAGAATTTATCATACCCAATATTGGATTTCAAAACAATCAAGTTTTCAAACAACAATCACAACTACTTTACAAATAGCACAAACTTCAACTAGGCCTAATTTGATCCGCATATAGCCTTCAACATTATGAGTAATACATGTGCATACCAATTGGAAAAAAAAATTGTCAGAATAGCTTGACTAAAATTTTGGCCAGGGATAAGGGCTTTAAAACTAGTGCAATAGATAAGTAATATTACACAAATTTTAAACAATTCTAAAGACTTTGAGCCTATCCCGACTACTTTTTGGTTGAAGTATTCTTAAGTAAAAAATTTTCATGCAAATTTTAACTGGAGAAAAAGCAAATCTAAGATAAAATCAATTAAAAGAACTTTCTATTCCTTCTCTATTAAATACAAATATTGAGCATGTTGACATTCATTAATGCTACTAAACTAAAATATAATTGACAGCCAAAAAGTAGAGAACAAACCTTGCTGTTGGCATCTGCAGCAAACTTATCGGCAGCAACGACATCAGTAGGTAATAGGAGTGACACTCCTTTCAGCTTTGCCTTCTCAATAAGAGCTGTTGCTAGACCAAGTTTATCTTCCTCAACAAGAGAGGATCCAACACCATGCCCTTGTGCCTTGTAGAAAGTGAATATCATTCCCCCTCCAAGAAGAAGGATATCAACTTTCTCTAAGAGTGACTCCATCACCCCAATCTTAGTTGAAACTTTTGAGCCACCAACAATGGCAGCAAAAGGTCGCTTAGGATTTCCAACTGCTCCAACAAGGTAATCAAGTTCCTGGAAGCCATAATAAACTAAGCAAACAAAAGCTAGCAGCTAACAGATAAAGATTTTACATTTCTTTTGTCTTTTACAAGCCCGAAGAAAGGCATTGGTTAAATCATTTTAATTAATCAAAGCTAAAAGGGAATTTATTTTACAGTGCAAATATCAACAAGAAAACTGCATCATACCTTCTGCATGAGAAAGCCAGCAACAGCAGGCTTCAAGTACTTTGTTACACCCTCTGTTGAAGCATGAGCTCTGTGAGCAGTTCCGAAGGCATCATTAACATAGAGATCAGCAAGAGAAGCAAGTTTCTTTGCGAACTCTGGATCATTCTTCTCTTCTTCCTTATAGAACCTCACATTTTCAAGGAGGACAACGCCTCCATCGGGCAAAGCAGCAATGATTTTCTCCACTTCCTCACCAATGGAATCATTGGCCATCTCAACCTATGTTATTACAGTCAAACTTGAGAAAAGAAACACCCTGAAATAAAAAAATTGCTACCACTGAAATTAAGTACAAATTTAAAAGCTTACATCAACTCCAAGAAGTTCTGATATCCTAGGCACAAGAGGCTTCAAGCTGTACTTTGGAGTGACACCTTTAGGGCGACCCTGAATTTCAAGTTCCAATTTAAGTAATGTTCGAAAGTACACTGCTTGAAGGTTCCATTCATTTCACAAATTAAAAAAAAAATAAAGAAAACTAGCAAAGCAACTAAATCATGCCTGTGCCAATGCCAGATGAAAGAGAGAATTCAATTAAACTTTAAAACAAGCATATAAATGTTATCATATTCCAAGTAAGAAAAACTCACTAAGGATTAAGTAGGCGAGTGACAGATGAAGCTTCATATACTGTAGTTTTAAAGTCAACATGATGTGATGCAATGAAGGAGTTACACAAGATCTTTAAAGAAAATCAAATTTTAGCTCCACGAATTATATAATTATGCCTCAAAGTTAAGTCAAAAAAAAAAAAAATCGCGATGTTCAATTTGCTAGGCAAAGAAACTACAACAAGAGGGCTAGACCATTTAAGCAAGAGCGAAAGAAAACATAACACAACGGCTAGTAAATAAAAATTCCCACAATTAATATAAAGTTGTTCACACCTTGAGTCCTTTAACGCTCTCTTCCTACGGAGACTAAGTTGAGCGGCGGAAGATTGTCCAAGCTAGCATGGAGGTTGCCAATAAGATCGAAGCGCCAAGGAACGTTGCCGTGGAAGAAGATCTCGGAGGTGGAGGAGGCACGGTAGATCGACCTTTGATAAGCCAAGTGTAGACGGCGAAGTGTTCGTCGATGGAGTCTATGAGCGTCGGCACGATGCGGCCCAAATTGTCTTCGACGGTATCGTCGAAGTCAAATCCGACGTCAAAGAACTGTGATCGGAGGATGTCGACTCTTCCGTTACGGTCGTATTCAAACCCGTAGTTCCACTCGGGTTCGTCCATGCATGCTTGCAAGTTAAGCCGGGTGGTCGCCGCGAGAGAGGCCTCCCAAGGAAGGGAGAGAGGGGGCAGCGGCTTGGAGAGGGAGAGGATGGCCGGTGGTAGAGCAAGGGTGAGGGGGCGGGCTTGGTTGAGAACAAAACTGAAGTTTAATTTCAGTTTTGTGAAATTGGGAGGGAAGAATTAGGGATTTTGAATTTCCAATTAATGTAATCAATGCATTAATTGAAAAAATCAATTAGGGAGAAGTTAAGGGGAAGCCGGCGGTAGAAAGAGAGGGATTAGGGAAATAAAAAACTGAAATTATTTCAGTTTTAGTATAGGTGGAGGAAAAAATATTTAATCATAATTTGAATTTCAAACAGGATTTGAGAATTAATTGAGTAATTAATGGGATTCCCCCATAGGGGCCGGCGGCATGATTAGAGAGGGAGGGAATTGGGGAGAGAGGAAGGGGGGTTTCCAAATAGGATTTGATGACTAGGAAAATTTGAAAATAAATCCAATTTCATGTAGATTTATTTTTATTGGATTTATTCAAAAACTTTCCATAAATAAAATTTCCAAATTTGGAAAGAAAGTGAAATTTGAAAATCAAATTTCAATGAGGAGTTGGGGAAGGAGATGGGGAGAAGTGGTGGAGAGGGAGGGTGGCCGGCGGGACAAGGATGGCCGGCGGGTTGGGCTCCAAGGACAAAACTTGCTCACGAAAAATTCGGCTCCTTCCAACGGTTGACTATTGCTTGCGGGAGAATTGGGTAGAGAATATGAGGATAGTATGTAACGACCTCGAGAACTCACTAAGAGATCTCTAAAGGAACTCACAAAGAGATCCAAAGAGTGGCACTCACAAAGAGAACACAAAACAAATTTCATTCAATCATTCAATAATCTCATACAAGATACAATGGCCATATAAATAGGCCCCAAAGAAGATAAAGTGCAAAAGTCTAAAATGCCCCTTGGGGCTACAAAAGCAACTATTACCCTCAGGGGTAAAATGAGAAACTACGAAAATAAAAGCATAATATGAAAACTGACGGTACAAGTGAAATCAAAAATAAAGGCTAGCAATCACGGCCGTCGATCTCCGCGGTCGTCTCTGATAGGCGCGCCGAAATCTTCTATCGATGACCTCATCACAACAACTAAATCAAAACAACATACATTTTTCCTCCAAGAACCTCTACTGCCATATACGAAAGATATGATTCTGCTTCAGTTCTACAACCATACTTCACAAAATTAAATAAATGATGATATTGATCTGCTGAAAGTTTCATAACAACAGTCTGGTCTAAGGAAACATTAAAAAAAAAAAAAAAATCTTCAAGAAGATCACGCAAATAGAAAATGAAAATAAACTAGAGGGCATCAAAATTTTAAGCAAGCTTACAAGACCTGGAAAGAAGTTGAATGACATGGTAATACTTGAAGGTCTTATAAACAACATATTCATGGCGTAGAGACAAAAAAAGCCCCAAAAACTGTAAAATATGATTTCTTTAATACTGAAGTAAGATAGTTACATTAACCGATGAACAAACATTCACTCCCTAAATAGAGTGCAGGAAAAAAGATCTCAATGAAGATAAGGCTGATGTCGTGCAGTGTGGAATTAAAAAAATAAGAAAGTTGGTGTAGGATAGTGGATCTGTGGATGGTGATGCCTATGATAATGTGGATAGTTTTCTATTTATTTTTTCTTTAGGATTATATCCGGGGACTCTAGTAGGACTCTTAATTGACATTCTACAATTTTTACAGAGGATTTGCGTAAGTATCTCTATTATAATGAAGTCAATGGTGTAATATAATTCTCATAAGACTTCACGTCACGTAAGCTCTTTTTAGAGTTCCGTTAATGCTGGCCAATTATAGGGCATTTTAATACTCGGGGAAAAGAATAGAAAACAATGAAAAAGGCAGCCTACAGAAGATAGAGGAGTTGCAAAAAGCTGCTATACGGTTCGGAAAATGATCCTGATCGTTGATTACATCTGTCATCCTATGAGAGCCTTAGATGACAACCTACCTCTGCAGTAGCAATCATTATTTTACACTTGGTATATTATATATAGATAGGGGTTACTGTAACGAAGGGCATGAAAAAATGAATTTCCGGATCTCTGTTTCCTTTCTCTAAGAATTTTCTACATATAATAAAGTTTCTGCAGGTTTTTAATGATATCAGAGCGAGCTGTAGCTACATCTCTGCATTATTTTAATATATCTAAAATTGATATAAGGAGTGTAATTTTAATAGTAATGATCTAGTGGGGGGTTATGACTTTGGAACGGATAAAGTCATTAACAATATTTGTCACAATGCGATCATGGCGCGGCATGACTGCAAATAGTTCTTGTGGAGCCATATCGCATAGCGCAAGGCGCGGAGTTCGCCATTTTAAATATGACGCACAATATAAAAAAATAAAAAACATATATATTATATATATATATATATATTATTATTATTATATAATATATATATATATATATATATATATATATAATATATTATTACATTAATTAGCAAACGATAGGTTGATAAGAGAAAAAACTTAACGCATAAATACTCTCTATAAGCAGCAAAAATGATAATTATAAACCCCTACGACTACATAATAGATATTGAGCCAGGATTTTAGATACTTTAGCCTAAATCCCACACAAATAGCAAAAATGATAGTTTTTAAATCCTACAAAAAGTTAATCATTTACATTTTTTAATATTTTAATTAATTTGATGTCTAATTAATTAATAATTAATTGTATATTAAATATATAAACCTTAAAATTTTTTAATTAAAATTTATACCATGTTAACAAAATAGCGTGTCATTTGCGCTTTGCGCTATGCACCATTGTCCATGCATGATGCAAAAAGAGCGCGCTATTTTAATGTGCCGTGCAAAATGGTTCGCGCTATTTTAGGCCATTGACATGTATAGTCATTAATAAGAGTATATGTTTTATATTTTATTGTTCAAAGTGATGGTAAAATAGATGGAGGATAGTATTAGTAGAATTCAAGTTGGATGGTTGAAGTAGAGGAATGCATCGGGCTTGTTGTGTGATAGAAAAATCCCCCTCAAACTTAAAAGAAAATTCTATTAGTTAGTGGTGAGACATGCGATGCTTTATGGTGCAAAATGTTGGTCATTAAAAGAGAAGCATAATAATAAGTTAAGTGTTGCAGAGATGAGGATTATCAGGTGGATGAGTGACTTTACTCTTATAGACAGGATTCAAAACGAGCATCGGAGCATATACGTGAAAAGATTAGAGTAGCTCCAATCGAAGACAAGATTAGAGAGAGTCGCCTTAGATGGTTTGGTCACATAAAATGGAGGCCTTTCTTTATTAGAATTAATGAGAGTTTAACCCTTAATAAGACAAAATGAAGAAAAAAAATTCATGTAGCCGACCCCATGTAGTGGGATAAAGGTTTGTTGTTGTTGTTGTTGTAAAATAAGGTATTGTATTTAATGCAATAATAAAAAGCATCATATCGACAAGGAAACAAGTATCAATGCAGTTGTACAGCTTTTCAAAAAAAAAACATCTTTATAGCATTCATTTCTTTTACATATATTTATTATTATTTTTGAATCCCAAGCCCTAACATTCAATACATCATTTCGCCTCTTCTTCTTCTTCTTCGAGACAAGCTTTGATGATGTCACGTCATTCCTTCCCCAATGATCCCCAGCCGCAAGTCCACAACTTATGCACGGCTTTCTTTGGCGAAGTTGAGCTCCTATCACAACTTCATCTTGTGTCGAGCTCTCAAGCCCGAGAAAGAATGAACAGTCGAGCTCAAGCTCATTATATGAGCTCAACTTGAGCTCGGGCTTGAGTTTGAGCTACTTTTTTAGCGACGAGTCAAACACGTGTTTGTTGCAACTTGAACTCAACTAGACTTTGTTTGCAGTCCTACCTTTGACACGTATTATTGCCTTGATATAGATCAACTCAATTATGATCGTACGCAATAATATGCATTTTCAAAAACAATAAAAACTGTATGAAGGTTTTTATTTTTCTCTTCATGCTTCTCCATTAATTTTAACAACAAAAAATCACTTCCATGGTAGATCTCCCTATTATGAAACTAAATTGATTCTACAAAACTATTATAATTTTTCTAAGCCTACATTACATTACTCTCTCCCAACTTCATTGCATGAATCATAGGTTCAATCACTCTATAGTAAATAAAATCTCAAACATCTCCTTTATTCTTAAATGTTAATATCAAAATGTTTCTTCTCTAATCATTTAGCATCATCTTAATCTTCAAAATTTTACTATAATGAGTTATTAAACAAATCCTTAAAAAACCACATAACTCTTCAAAATAATTTTATGCACCTTCTTCCTAGCTAACTACACTCTTTTTTATTATTCTATAATATACATTATTCTATTATTTATGCTCTTTCAAATTTATTTTCTCAATAATCTCTCATTTAATAATTTTTCAAAGCCCTTGAACCACTCCTAACGGTAAAAAAAATCAGGACCTGATGCAAGATCAAACATTAACTCAAGCCATGGAAGATAACCGTGGAATAAATTAGCAATGATAAGATAAGGATCTTAATATAGGATAGTGAAATAAATTACCGCTCGATGACACCTCATTGCAGCTTGATTGAATGTTTTGTTTTTTAATTATTCAATTCATACTTCTCCAAGTATACCACTGCATCACAATTTTCATCATAACCTATTTCCTAGTGTACTAAAGCAATAATATATACGAAATGACGAATTGTTATCAATTGGAGACCAACTGAAATCAAATCATAAGAAATTCGATCAAAACACTAAAATTATGTTTATTCTACCCATTTGATTGTTTTGGGATGTGTGTTTATAAGAGTTGCTTAATTAACCAGTCTTACACCTAGATCAAATCAAATTCAGTGGGTAGAAAACCATCCTTATCATATTTAAGGTGCAATTTCTACCAAATTTTTCACCGCAACCAAAATCTAAATAGTAATAGGCCAAGTAAACATAAAATAAACATAATTCATAAGACAAAATAGAAGAAAGTCGAAAACTTAATCAACCAAGGCATAGATGATAGATCGCTAGCTAAATCCAAAATAAAATCAAAAGCCCAAACAAGCTATAACATGCACCTGTTAACAGTTCATTTTCATAGAATATCCTCTCAAAGCTACAACCAAAACCATAAAGTATTCAAAAAGACAACCAACAACAAACAGCACCGGAAACAAAAACAAGGCAAGCAAATCCTATCAATAAGAGAATCTCACCAGATGACTGCAGAGAAGCACCTTGGCTCCGTGCTCCCTCAAGTAATTGATGGTGGGAACAGCGGCCCTGATCCTGGTGTCGTCGGTGATCTTGAGGTTGTCATCGAGCGGTACGTTTAGATCTACCCTAACAAACACCTTCTTCCCCTTCAGATCTGCTCCCTTCAGATCGCCAACGCTCCTTTTCTTTGACATTCTTAGCTCGCTAAAACACGTATCTGATTCGAAGAAAATGGATAAGTAAAACTGGACTTGGAATGCCTACAACCACACGGGTTGGGAAAAACAGAAGGCTTTGTAGGTGAACGATGGCGTACTATAAAGCAGGAATGCTAACGTACGCGTCCCTTACTGCAATTTAGGCATCTCCGATCCACAAAAAAAAAAAAAAAAATTATAACAGTATCAAATAATAATTATCTCTAACATAAAAAAAATAATAATGTTGCGTCCTGGAATATTCGCGGCGGTAGAGAAATATTTAGTTTAACGTCTTAGCATTGTACGAAGATCCAGTACACAAGCAGATAAGTGAGAGGGTGTAGCATTCATAAGAGACACCAGAGTTTTTACGTGGAAAACCCCTGTTCGAGGAGAGATGCTTACGGTCGGCAATAATGACTGATAAGGGATGGGTCGGTTTGCTGATCGATCGGGGAGCAGAGGCTTTTTATTACGAATGTGAGCGAGATTCAGGATCGATGTGCAGCCTGTCTTGTTCGGGAGTCCGGATGGAAGGAGCTAAAAAAACAACGACAGTTTTTTTGTGTTGCCATTTGAAGAAACGAAGGTTTCGTGGGTCGACCTGAGAACGCTCCGGGTTATTTCGGGTATTTGGTGAGGGCGAAATCTGTGTTTTCCGAACGAATAAGCGGACAGAAAAAAAATTTTGTAACCGCTCAAAATACGCGGTTTACTAAAAATTGATTACGGTTAAACTTGCCTTCCAAACATTTAACACAAACTGATTATGGCTTATTCAAACGGAAACGGAGGAAATAAACTTAAACAACGAGGCTGAAGCGCCCTAATGGCTTCTTCCTGGTTGTCTGCGCTCCCCCTCTGCAATCCTGCAGCTTCCCGGCTTGAAAATCGCTAAACCTATTATATTTTCGATCCCAAAGCGAAGAATTCCAGCGAAATCGTCTCGTTCACTGGTCTTAAGAGCTATAAGAGAATGGCGCGAGTACGAGGATGCCGTGAGGGAGAAAGACCTCGCTCGAGCCCTCCGGTTTCTGAAAACCATGGAAACCGTTCCCAATCCTCTCCAAACTCCTGCATCCACTTCTCTTCCTATGCCCCTCGAACCCTTCGTTGTCTTATATGCTGGACCTCCCAGATTGGAAAAGGACTGGGAGGTGTTAGACACGTGCATTAACGCCGATGATATGAGGTTGGTAGGAAGCGCTTATGCGTTTTTGAAAGATCGTGGTTTGCTGGAGAATTTTGGAAAATGCAGAAATATTGGTAAAATTCGATCTCCTTCTACTGTTTTCAGTATTATTCATGTAATGGGAAGAGGTTGAGGCATTCAAGAAGG